GAAAATGTTAAAAATTTTAGGTAAACAAATGATTTCTTAATTTTGTGAATCTTTTTCTGAATGGTTATTAGTCCTATATCATTATAGTATTTTATACTTACATAATCGGGAATTGTCGTATTTAATCTTCAGTAGCCAAATCTTCCGTACTATAACTCCTACTCAAGAATCCAAGATTGAGAGCACGTATAAAAATTTACGGAAAGCTGCTGAAGCAAGACGAATTCGTAAATCATATCTAGATAATAAAAGAGTAAGTGGTTTATTAATCTTTCTATATATTTACACAAGTTTGATATATTATATCACTAAAAGGTATAAGTAAACATTTGATTTATTTTTATTTTTCCAGGCAAACAGTGAAAATTGTTGGAGATCAAATAAGGGATGGAAAGCAATATAACATGCCAAATGCGGATGAGGTTACTGCAATTGTACCTGCTCCCTCATCAATTACTTCTTCATCGCCAAGTTCATCATCCGAATCAACATCTGCATACACAAACTTTTCACCCGTGTATGGAATACCAAGTCTGAATCCATCTTCTCGATAAAGTAAAAACAAAGGATATTGTAAAGGAAGGTACTGCGCATGTAACTCGTATATGCGTTTAAGCTCACCATTCTGTTTTTCAACCACAATATCACGTTGTTTATTCGGTTCATCAACATCACCAACTACAATTGCATCGGGTATATCTAATTATGAAAGAGTGGTTTGCTTTCAGGATTCAAGAGAGGCTTAAAGAGAGCTCACATTTTCTATATGGAAGAAAACTTTTACACCAATTTTTAGTTGATGCTTATACAATGATTGAGGCCCGAAGGTTAAGTTTCATAACAAAAAATCAAACTAAATTGAGAAGTACAAACTACAACAAGATACATTGCCCCGCGGAAGCTGGGGACAAGGATACTACAAAACTCGGGAATCATACAGTTTTACCTTCTTCATTCACTGGAGGGCCAAGGTATTTTTTTAGTTATATATTTTCTTATTTATATTTGAGTATCATATTTGCATCACTTAAATTGTTATTATTCGATGTAGCCATATGTTTTAAATATTTTTAAAAATTACAACATGGCAGAGACATGGAACAAAGTTACTTGGATGCTATGGCTATATGTAACCATTTTGGATATCCAAATCTTTTTGTAACTTTCACGTGCAATCCCAAGTGGCCAGAAATTATTAGGTATTGTAAAAAAAGGGGGGCCTTAGACCAGAAGATAGGCCAGATATTATTACGAGAGTATTCAAGTTGAAACTTAATCGTTTTATTAAGGATATTAAGTCTTCAAAAATGTTTGGAAGGGTACAGTCATGTATGTTGTTCTTAAAAATCACCCCTATTGATAATATAATTTTTATTTGCAAGTAGTTCTTTATACAGTTGAGTTCCAAAAGCGAGGCCTTCCACATGGACATATTTTAGTTTGGATTCACTAGGAAGATAGGCTAACAAATCCGGATGATTTTGACAATATAATATCGGCAGAAATTCCAAGTAAGGAGGATGATCCCGAGCTTCATGAACTTCTGAAAGATTATATGATGCACGCTCCTTGCGGGAAAGTGAGACCAAATTTTCCTTGCATGGAAAACGGTCAATGTTCTAAGATGTATCCAAAAGCTTTTTCAGAAGTTAGCTATGTTGATGATAATGGATTTCCTGATTATAGGCGATGTGATACTGGTGTAACAGTGTTAAGGAACAAAATTAAATTGGACAATCGCTGGGTTGTTCCATATAACGAAAAACTTCTCAAGAAATTTCAGGCTCATATAAATGTTGAATGGTGCAATCAGACGCAAGCGGTAAAATATTTGTTCAAGTACATAAACAAGGTTCGGATAGAATAACTGTTGAATTTGAGAATCAAGATCTACTTGAATTTATGAAAAATCGTGATGAAGTTAAAAAGCATTATGATTGTAGATATATTTCAGCTTGCGAGGCTATATGGAGAATATATGGTTTTCCTATTCATTATCAGATGATCCCCGTTGAGAGACTTTCTTTTCATCTTCCGAATGAGCAATTTCTGATCTTCAAGGAGGGAGCTGATATTGAAGACGTTATGGATCCATCAGGTAAAATTGCACTTATGTTTACTGAATGGATGGAATGTAATAAAATATATCCAGAAGCAAGAAACTTGACCTACATTGAATTTCTAAGCAAGTTTGTGTGGAATAGGGAGTTGAAAACTTGGGTACCTAAAAAGAGAGGTTTAAGTATTGGTCGACTCCATAATGTCCGTTTTGGATCTGGTGATATTTATTACATGAGAATGCTATTAAGTGTAGTCAAAGGCCCGACGTCTTATGATGATATAAAGACAGTTAATGGTAAAGTTCACAATAGCCATAAAGATGCTTGCAATGCATTGGGTATGTTGGAAGATGATCGTGAATATACTGTTACCATCGAGGAAGCAGCTAAGTGGGGCAACTCAAACTATTTAAGAGAACTATTTTGTAATATATTGGTTGGAAATGTCTAACTGATCATGCTCGTGTGTGGGAAGCGACTTGGAGGCTTATGACTGATGATATATTGCATAAAGGAAGAAAATTGTGCGGTCTTCATTCAAGTAAGTTCTTCACTTGCACTTTTAGATTATATATTTGTTTTATTATACCCATTGAATATTTAAATTTTTATGTTTTTTCATTTTTCAATTTAAAACATAACGCATTATTCTTTTTTTTTTTAACAATTAGGGATTCAATAGTCTGAGCAAGAATTGCATAATTACGCGTTGAATGATGTTGAAAAAATTCTGAAAAAAATGGGAAAGAGTTTGAAGATATATGAACAGATACCATATCCGCATGATTATATCGATCTTAATGTTGGAAATAATTTGATAAATGCAGAACTTCAATATGATAGACAATTGTTGGGTAAAGAACATGATTATTGCATGTCAGCTTGACAAATGCGCAAGAATTGTTTATGATAAAATCGTACAAGCTATTAACAATGATAAAGGTGGTGTTTTCTTTTTATATGGTTATAGTGGAACCGGAAAGACATATATATGGAAGACATTGCCTGCTACATTGCGTCGAAAAGGTGGTATTATGCTGAATGTGGCTTCGAGTGGTATAGCTTCGCTTCTTTTGGAAGGTGGTCGAACGGCACATTCGAGGTTTAAAATACCTTTGAACATATATGATTACTCAGTTTGCAAAGTAGAACCTGGAAGTAATTTGGCTCAACTTTTTGCACGCACTAAGTTAATTATTTGGGATGAAGCACCAATGATGCACCGTTATTGTTTTGAAGCTTTGGATAGAACATTAACGGATTTAAGTCGTTTCTCTGCGTCTGGGATAAAAAAAAATCCATTTGGTGGAATAGTCACAATATTTGGAGGAGATTTTAGACAAATCTTGCTAGTTATTCAAAGGCATCACATCAACAAATTGTTGCTGCTACGATCAATGCTTCTCCCATATGGGCAAATTGTGAGGTACTTAGACTTATAGAAAACATGAGATTTCGTCAAGGTAACAATGTGAAATTATTCGCTGAGATTAAGGAGTTCTCTGAATGGTTGCTTAGGATTGGTGATGGTAAAGAAGGAGAATCAAATGATGGTATAGTGGATATTGATATTCCTGAAGATATATGTATTAGAGGTTCAGGTAATCCTATTTCTACTATTTGTGACACTATTTATCCAAAAATAGTAGATTGTTTGGATATTCCGAATTTCTTTGATGCTTTCTTAGCTCCAACACACGATGATGTAGATGCTATTAATGATCATATGCCAACACTCTTAAGTGGAAGTGCAAGGACTTATTTTAATTATGATAGTGTTGATCAACAAGATAAGTCTCCAAATAGTGAAAATAATCCGATGTATTCTGTTGATTTTCTCAACAGTATTAAATCTTCTGGTTTGCCAAATCATAAAATATCTCTCAAGGTTGGTGTTCCTGTTATACTTCTTAGAAATCTTGATCAGCTAGGAGGGTTATGTAATGGTACAAGAGTGCAAGTGCTTGATTTGGGAGAACGAGTCATTCATGTGAAAATAATTTTAGGCACAAATATTGTAAGAAAAGTGTACATTCCTCCCACGGTGATCGACCCCACTGATAAGAGTTTACTAGTTAAAATCAAAAGGAGACAGTTTCCGATTATTGTTTGCTTTGCAATGACTATAAATAAGAGCCAAGGTCAATCACTTTCAAATGTTGGTTTATACTTAAGACGTCCAGTTTTCACTCATGCTCAATTATACGTCGCTCTATCTAGAGTGAAATCAAGAAAGAGTTTAAAAGTCCTCATTTGTGGCAAGGGTAAAGAGTTTGGATGCCGAACAACTAATGTAGTTTACAAAGAAGCATTGGATGAAGTTTGATTTAGAATATTTTATTTATATTTTTTTTTTACACATTGTTTACTGTTTTTAGATACATCATTTAAAGTTTATTGATCTTTATATTTTTTCATAATTTAAATAATGTATTATTTACTTTTTTAAACATCTTTAAATAACTATATATATTCAATTTTTTGTTAATTGATGTATTTTGTTTGTATAATACTATGTTTTGCACTATTCTATGGATAAATTTCATATCCCGTCCAACGGACGGCCACCCACTAGTCATATATCAAGAAAGTAAGCTGTATAACATCACTCACATTTAATATACTAAATGTGGCATCTATTCGGGGATTATTAATCGTGATGTTAATTCCATTGAGAAAATCCAACATTGTTCACATTTTGAAATTAAAAAATGTATATATGAAGCATGATTCTTTTTCCACATTAAAGCTCTCTTTTAAATTTTTAATGATGCTTTTCGGAAATGCCTTTAAAAAAAAAATCCAATGTTAAGTTTCAGAAATAATAATTAACTTAAAAAAAAAACTCATAAATTTTTATTTATTAATAAATTTTAAATTTATATAATGGTTGCATACTATTAAAAATATCTCAACATTTTCTCATTTTTATTATGAAACTAACAATACAAATTAATTAGAGGTTTCAAAAAGGGAATAATCTGTATTTTTGTTTTCTGGTCCTTTTTTTTCCCTTTTATGAACATTTCTCTCATCTCTCTTCATATACGAAAAGAAAAATATTAACCATAATCATCAATATGTACATATATGTATGTATACATGCACGGTCGGATGACCACACAGGTATATGTACAATTACAAGAACACCGACTAAACTAAGCAAAACATTCCACAAAACACACTTCAAATACCTTACTAAACAAAAGAAGGCTGTTCATTCCTTTTTGGCCTGTACTTCAACAAAAATGCCCAGGCATGAGCCTTAAAACAGATCAAGAAATGATGCTTAGGAATCTTTTGAGAGCCAATAACATAATGCCTTCAGCAAATAGCAATATTCCAGCAAAACACCAAGTTCTACTTTTTACGGGATTTCTTTGGTGTAGAGGACGGACTTGATGCCTCTTTAAATGCAGATGGGCAAATATCGTTGACACTGCATATTCTGCAACGAGGTCTCAGAGGAGTACATATTGTCTGTCCAAAGCCAACCTGCAGAACTATGTTTCAGTACAGAAGAATAAAAGAAGTATCACAGCACGCCCCTAGATCCATAGCATGCCAAATAATTTCCATATAACTGTCATCATTTATTTAGTACTTAATTTTTCTTATAGCAGGGAATAAAGACCTGAAGTTTTCGTCAGTGCTATAAGATGATTGGGCAGTTAATGAATGATGCCAAGTATTTGAGTAACACATCACATACAAGATCTACATTCAACTTTTGTTAAGAGAATGCTCAGCATACCAGAAGCGGATTGATTGCCACCCATTCTTCCTTTGGAAGCCACAGTTGCAAGGCCTCCCTTGTCTGCTCAGGTGTTGAAGTATTCTAATAAGAGGGGAAAAAAAAAATTAACATCAGAAGATTTTTCCTTTGTTTTAACCTTTAATGAATGTCTGTACTCTAAGGACCTCTTTCTATATTTGTTTGTCTTATTTGGGTTCGGGAGAGTGGCGGCTACTGGTGGGCCAAAATGAGTTTTAAGTTGGAGTTTAGTCTCAAAACAGTTTCGATCAAGTCTATAATCAAAGAGGTTCACGACAATTATATATGCTTTCAAACATAAACATGTCTGCATGGAGTCCGGAAGAATGCTAAAACAAAGCCAAGTTTGTAAAAAGTATGATGCAACAGTCAACAAAATGCTCTAGTATGCTGGAAGTCCAACGTGACACTCTGTCCCTATCTAGTCAAATTGATAACAGAAACTGGTCAAAACTGCTTTGAGGGCTGCAAAAATGAAAAATAGGTAATCTTTTGTTTTGTCTAAGAACTTTAAAGCATCTTCACTTCCTCCTTCCCATAACAAGAGTCCAGTTTTTATAATACGTGGAAGGAGCATATAACAAGAGCTCCAAGCCTCTAAACTTACCAGCATGGACGATATCCTCTATGCAGCAAACCAAGTTTTTCTTTAGGAACTAATAGCAATATCCAAGGCAGTTCAAGCAATAGCGGGTTCAACTCATGCTAAAGACATTAGATCAATAAAGGACACAAGATTCTACAACATTTTGGTGTATTGTAAATGATGTTGTAGCACAACAGTTAAAAGCTGATGCATGTGACTTTATGTGTTTGGTTCAAACCATCAAAAAAAAAAAAAAAAAAACAAACAAACAACACAGTTTCCTATCAAATCCCTTTCACCCCTGTTACTGGACATAATAAAAGAAAGTTCATGGAATCATTGATCCTTTAGCTTGCTGTATGAGGTCCACTAGCAAGACTTATATGAATTACTTTTCCCGATCATGTATTATACACTATATAAGCTCGATTACACGAATCACATTTCACCATAATTTTTTTTAAGATAGTATATTTTCATCTAAGTTTAAAATTCTCTAGTATCAAGATTCTGTTCCTCGGCATATCGAGGAGTTTTCCATTTTTTTCATTTGATGGAGGCTTCCCTCACTTTATTTTAAATGCATTTAATATTATGCTATCGAGTAACAGTCTGTACATCCATCTCAACCTTCTCGTTTCTTCCATCTCCCCATATTTCTGTGTTCATTTTGGTTGAGTTACTCGATAAAATAGAGCAAAACAGGTGGACTGAAATATTAAGTGCAAATTTCTTCTTCATAATACGGCTAATAAGGCATCAGAGTACATAAAAAAAGCACAAGTTTACCTTCATTCTGCCTGGCCGTGACACCCATCCAAGCCGATTACAAATGCGATGGACATGGGTGTCCACGCATATACCTTGAACATTTTCCCAACCAACATTCATGATCTAAAAGAACAAAAAATTAGTACAACATCATCAGAACTGACCGCATATTCAAACTGCTGAGATGAGATGACTCCGAGAGTTTTGATATATTTTGACAAGATAATTTAATCCACCAAAAACCATTTAATATATGATGAATACTGGACTGTATAAAGAATTGTTATTTATAAAAAATTTCCTTCAAATAGCTGTAGGGGCAAAGTGCCACCTCCTGGCAGCTGATAGCTGGCCCCAACCAGTGAGGACAGGACAGAATCTGGCCGAATGTTAGCTAAGTCATCGGAATTAGAAAGAAATTTAACACACAAATTTCTAGACAGCAACAATTACTAGTCATTCAAAACAATACATGTAGAAAGCCCCCATTTAACACGTGACCCAAATGACCCAACCCAATTAGTTAAAATAGAGGGTGGTTAGATTCGAATTACGCTAATGACCACAATTATTTTAGCAAATTTCAAACATTACCAGATGAGCCATCTTAGGACCAATCCCAGGAAGTAGAAGCAATTCCTCTAATGTGCTTGGAATGTCCCCATCATATTCTTGTAGACATATTTTTGCTATTTTCTTCAAGTTGCTAGCCTTTCTCGTGTAGAATCCAACCTGATAAGGACAGAAGATTCAAGAATTAACAATATTTTCACACTAATGAGTACACGTTATGAATAGAGAAAACAAGCATTCGGGATTCAATTCGTGAATTCAGGCATACAGATGATTGATTCAGAAAAGATTTCAATCAGGGCAAGTTGATGCCATCCATATCACAGAGAACATTTATTAGGTCAAAAGAGACTGACATACTGGGTAGATCAAGTCCTTGATAACAGCTTCTTCAGCTTTGTCTATGGCATCTGGGGTAAGTAAGCCATTTTGGAGAAGTCGCTGAACGGCCCCTGCATAACAGAAAAGTTTCCAAGTTACTTGTGAATAGAAAGAGGAAAAAACTCGTTTCTTTAAAGGCAGAAAAGATTCTTTATCATCATGACAGAACAGTCCAGACATGTCTATATATACTTATGGTTACATCAGAGTCAAGAAATTAGTTCAATATCTAAGACAGAAAATGCATGAGTAACCTAATTGAAGAACTTGCCATGGTTAACATGATCTTTTGTTTGGCTTGACAAGAGCGATGATGCTAAAACAGCAAACCTTCTTTCCTGTGTGTGTGTGTGAGAGAGAGAGAGAGAGAGAGAGAGAGAGAACAAGAAACTACAGTTATTTAAATTCAGACAACTGAGGCACAAGATCTATTATCTGCATAATGTAACTTTAAGAAGCAATCTGTATATTATACAGACTAACAAAAGCCACAATATTGCAGTCATAAATTATGGCAATAATACGACCTGCAAGAAACGATATTTTAAAAATCACGTGACTTTATAAAATTTTTTATGGTTGTTAAGCTCAGTATCTAGAGGAATTGTGTACGTAAAGTGTATAAAAAGCCAGTACATTTCTAAATTGATAGGAACTCGTTGCCCTGATGCCAAAATGAATAAAGTGACAGTTAAGAAATAATAACATTTTCACATCTATATAACCATAAATAGTTTAACTAACCATTAGAAAACGAAACACATAGTCTAAAGACTTCTTACTGTTCCCCTATATCATTTCCATCTTTGAAAATCATGCCTTCTAACTTATAAACTAGATTCCATCCAACTATCTCTGTTTGTTCTCCATCCAACTATCTCTGTTCCCCTATATCATTTCCATCTTTGAAAATCATGCCTTCTAACTTATAAACTAGATTCCATCCAACTATCTCTGTTTGTTCTCCACCCAAATGAAATTAAGGCCCATTTACAGACCAGAATTAAAACTTCAAAACACTTCAGAACATCCTCCTCTTTCCCTGATGACAAGTTTCTTGACTAGTATACAAATGGACAGTAACAGTCCTTGAATGAATCATTAGTAAAATACTATCTTGAAGTTAACGAATGCACGTGTTGATCAACACCTACATACTGATCCTTTTGAGTGAAAATTTTTGAAAGGTCTCATACAATGACAGACATATTGTTTTCAGGATATCGCATAAGATGAGATTAGTTGCATCTGCTCCAGTTTGAGTAATAGAGTAAAGGTGTAAACATTTCACAAATTGGAGAAAGGAAGTCCAAGAAGCAATGGGTCAGCTCCTGTCAGTTAACACACTCAGGAGTTACTGCAGGAGGCTTTAAGAAGACATAGTTCACCCAAGACCAAAAACCAAACCTCCCACCAAATATATTAAACAAGCCCACTACGTGAATTAATAAGAATTATTTATTCGTTGATCAAACAGACAGTACAAGTCACATATTACTTAGGATAAGCACTTATTCTGATTTTCTTTATCTAAGTTTCGATTATGCATATAAGTTTGACATCATGATACTAGCTTGTGCGTAAACAGAGAGTTACAACATAGTTAATCTCTGATTCATTAAAAAGCTAAAAAGTAAACCATCCACCATCATTTGCAGTAATCAAACTTTTTTCCCCTTATGCTCAACTTTAGTTATTCATGGACTTCGTAACACAGTAACAAGTATGGATTTTACACAAATGAATACAAAAGTAAAGACATCCAATTCATCGATTTTCTGCCAAGCCAAAAACTCACTGCTATAACTTTGTCCTAGGCTTCACTACTTGAGCTACTGACTTGAGCATTTAAATTGTATTATATCTGAAGACAATGTGGATGTGAAACCAACAACATGTAGCTCCTGCTCACAAATGAACATATGAAAAGAAACACGTCTCTGCTGTTGATGACTCATCAGCAAAAGTTCAGGTCATTAAAAACAATTTTCAAAAACCATGGAGAAAAGTAGTTCAACTCATTAGCTTCAATTAGAAATGAATATTACAAACAAGAAGTTTCAATCACATGTTTCTCCAAAGTGTCACACACACAGAGAGATGAAACTTATGTCATCAGCTTCCAACAATGGAAACAAAGAGCCAATATTTTTTCAGAAAACTTCGTGTTTTAGGGATCTAGAACTGCTGCCTACAGGATGAAGAGTATGAAATGACAATGCATACAACACCGAAAGTTGAATAAATTTAATTCAAGGGTTCAGTTCATGCATTAAACATTCAATACAGTATCTATATTGAGGGTGAACACTTAAGAACTCAAAAGGGTATCAGATCTCAATAATAACAATCCTTTGAAACTATTAAGGTGCGGACAGTTTGGATTTTTGGTAAGGTAAACTTTTTCTCTGGAAAATCTGCTATCCAAATAACTCTAAAATTCCAATGTTAAAATTCACATTCCCACCAAAAATTCCTCTCATGTTATTTCAAAGGGAAAGCCCACCCTATTTCTTCTTTTACCTCCCTGAATAAAACACCTCTCTCCAACACATTTTCCTCAAAAAACAAAAGCAAATACTCCCAAAAAAGTGCAAGCCACAGACTAATAATGAAACGACACATGGCATGCCAGATTTAATGCTCAACAAAGAATGCCCTCCACAAAATTCCATTCCCTTCATGCCAGCCTCCTACATATTGAATTTGTCAATTACTATTAACAAAAAAAACTACCTTTGGAGGAAGAGAAATGCCAGCTTTCTCACAACCCACAAGATCTACAGGAGCATCTTCACTAGACCTCATTTTGCGAATTCCTTCAAGAACTTTTACCCAATTTTCAGGTGCTTGTGCTGCAACAGAAAGACCAGAAAGATAGAGACTTTCAGCACATTCCAAAGTGTTGCAAAATAAAAATTATACTAAGTTTCCGTCTCCACTTTAAAGTGCCGTAAAGTGCAAGAGGTGATAATGATTCTTGTCATGCACTCCACTAGAGTTTATATGAATACAGCACGCACCAGGAATTAAACTGCCACTAACAAAACAGTTTAATCTATCAAAAATACATCAACATAGCATCCCACATTAAATCTCTCTCTTTTGACAATGCAAAACATACACTTTCATATTTACTGAAAAAGGAAATACATACTAAGATGACAAACATTGTACAGATGCAAACATGATTTTAAGATAAAAAATTTTATTTTTGTTTTTTTGGGGTAAATTCGACTATAAAAATTTCAGTACACCACAATATCAATTCAAACAACTTCATCTTGAAGATTCGTCATTTATGGTGAGGTCAGGTCATAAAAGGTTTTTGAGAATAATGCATAAAATGTCTTAGTGGCAAAGGGAGCATAAGATTTACAAGAAGAAAAATGATATATCAAGTATTATTGATCACATCACAATGTTATCTAGGTGAAAATTATGAGTAATCAAGGGCACCTTAGCTCTAAATCAAGGGCATGGAAACTTAAAATCTTGATTGTGAAAAACAAAGACTTATAGAAGAACTCTATTTCCAATTCAGTCACTTAAATAAATGGTGAGAACAGTTGAGGGTTAACTAGTCTTTAAGTTGCTCATAGGGCATTGAGGTATTTTAAACTACCCCTAAAAGAGATATCATATTTAGGAGGAGAGATAAGAAGTTCAAGTATATACACATGTAGATAAGGCTCATCTATAGGCTTATATGCAATGTAATGGGTAAAGAACTATAACAGAATACTCATAATAGAACACAGGTTTCCTTGTTTATTGTCTTTTGGGTGATCAAACCCATATCAGACACCAAAAATTTTGGTATAAACTTCATTGCATTATGTTTAATTACCGGTGTAAAAATATTAACAAAGGTGTTACAGTGAAGACTTTAAATTTAGTCACAAAAACAGCAGGAGTAGTACCAGAAGGAATGCTAGCGAAGTGTGAACTCAAGAAACAAATAATAACAGCAACATGAACTAAGTCAATCTCCTACGGTGAGGTAAGCTATGAATTATCACACACTTTTGTTTCAGTTTGGAGATATAATGCAATTTCTAGCAGTTAAATACCAAGTTCTATTATGACTTCCGCTTCCGCATCCCTTTTTAATTTAAGGTAATAGTTCGACATGTCATACTAGTGCATCTAAAGGTCTAGCTCATGTGGCCAAACCACCTTAGTGCCTTTCTCTCATATTAGCAAATCCAATCACATGAAGCTAATGGAAAACTTACTAGAGTTGAAAGGGCCAGAAGTCTTTCCATATGCGAAGTCTTCAATGTCAGGTAGACTGTCAAGCTGCATAAATCTTATTAATTGTCAATCTGGGATGGTAATTTAACACATTTTCCAATAATTAAAACACGCGAAGCAGTTTAGAAAATTGTAAAAGCCAAATTTATGGAAATGCGTAGTGATTATATAGTTAAACACATTAACCATAACACCAACACCACACTTTTCCAACAAGATATTAAATCTAAGGATCTCAAGCGGCGAAAGATTTCCCTGAATGGAAAAACTTTATATACTGAATTCGAACACCCAAATAGCATATCATTTTTCCTTTATAACTACAATGTGTTCCACTTCAAACATGCTCCAATGTTAATCAATTTGGAACAATCTAGACTTGAAATCCAATAATGCGAGCGTAAGAAGTAAACCCCTTCTGTTTATGGATAAAAACATTCCCCCGAATGGAAAATCTTTAAACACTGAATTCGACCACCCAAATGGCATACCATTTTTCCGAAATAACTACAACGTGGAAACACTTCAAAACTGTTCCAATGTTGATCAATTTGGAACAATCTTGACTTGAAATCCAATAATGCCAATGCAAGAAGCAAACCCCTTTCGTTTAAGGATAAAAATGAAAAAATTTTATTCTTTTCAGAAGCCATATAGTCATATACACTAAATATTGTTATGTTAAAAGCTAGATGACATTAGATCAATAAAACACCTCAATATTTCAAACTACAGCTAGCAACCACATAGATTAAAAAAACAAATAAATTAAAAAGTCAATAAATCTTTAAAACTCTACACACAACAAACCAGTATATCAGCTAAAATTAAACCAAATTTGGAAATTCTACAAGAAAACCACTTTATCATACCTTCTGCTTCCGAACTTCTTCAGCATTAACTTCTTCTGCGCTGATGTTTACCACCGCCTTTTCAGATTTTTTCTTTCTAGCATAGGTGCGAATTTTCACAGGAGGGCTAGCATCGCAACTCTCCTTTCCTAGAAAAAAAATGAAATTAATCGTGGTTTCAAAAGAACAAAAATTAGAAGAATTTAAAGAATCCGAAAAGCATCAAACAAAAATTAAAAAAGAAACAGAGGTAGAAGATGGAAGAGATTTCTGACCAGGTTTTTGAAGGTTTGAAATTGGGATATTCTGGGCTTTGGTAGAAGAAAGTCTGGTGAGGCGCATTTTGGCGGAATTGTATGAGACTATTTGGGCGGTAAAGAAGGCGCCTTTTAGAATAGCAGCAGACATTTTGTTCAGAAACTTGAAGACAGCACAAATGGTGTTTTTTACTAATATTAAACACAAAACTCAATGGAAACGAAAACATCATCCAAACAATTTCTGATTTACATTTTAAATTCCAACTTGAAATATTTTTTGTTAATGTAATAATCATTTTAGAACTATAAATAGTTCAGTGACAAATTTGGTAGGATTTCGATGTTGAGTGATTGTTTTTGGAAAAGTTCTTTTTTGCATTGAGTATAATTGATAGTATTTAATTGTTTAGTGATGATTTGTGCTTGATATTTCAAAATGTAATTCAAAATATTTTTTTTCAAAACCGAAATCCAAACAACATATTTATTTTCTATTTAGTTTTCAATTTGAAACACTTTTCACTTTTAAGTGGCAAAATGAAATGTAAGTTGACGTCCAAACAAGCATTTAGTCATTATGGTTAATATTTTTCTTTTCGTATATGAAAAGTGACGAGAGAAAGGTTCAGAAAAGAAAAAACGACTAGAAAACAAAAATCTTCTATATATACTGTACTAAAGCCTGTTTGATAAAAGTTAGTGGTTAATTGTCAATACTTACTATTAAATTCACTTAATTATCAATAAAATATCATAAGTTGGGGCTCCATCCTTACTATATACCCTAAGTTCAAATTGTCTTTATTTAATACCAGAAGTTGACTTCTCTCTTTTCCGTCCATGAAACGTTTAAAAAGAAGACGGAGGCGTGCAAGTCAAGTGACTATTATATAAGATTAACGGAGGGGCATTTTTACTTTTTAACATCTTAACCCAACCAGCCCCGTGGTTACGTGCCCCGCCCGTGCCTCCCAACCAAGAGACCCACTAGGCTAACAATCGGGGTAACACTTAGTTCATTGCCCCCTTTGACTCCCAACACTTTTATTTTTTTCCTTCTCGAGTCAAACATACAGAGAAAAAAGAGGGGGGAGGGAGGAAATTAGGGTTCAGGGTATCGAATCGAAAAGGTAAAAAGGGAAAACGAATGTGGGTAAAATAAAGAATTTTTGAGACTTGAATAGGTTTTAGGTTTGAGTTTGCTTGCTTGTTCATTTTAGGATGTGGAGAGGAGTGGACTTCAATCCTCCGGATGAGTACGAACATGAAGCTCCTGGCTATGGTAAGTTTTCTATTCGTACATCTGGGTAGATCTGAGTATTTTGGGTTTATTTTTTATGGGTTCTTCACGGGAGTTGTGTGTCTTTTCGATTCCAACTCTAATTCTTTTATCGGGTTTCAGAACCTTCGTCTCTGTGCAGATTGATTTTTTAATTCAAAGTTTTATGGGGTCCATGTGCCTTTCATGGAGATCTGGATGTCATAGGAAAAAAAAATGGTTCTTGGGTTTCTGAAACTCCTCGTGTTAGTGTTTAAAATTTTTGTTTTTTGGCTTTTGCTGAGAATCTGTTTAGAACATGTGTTTTTTAATGCATTTGTATTAGGGTTTAATTACAAATCGGTTATGGGGATCAAAAAACAAAATGGAACGAAGTCTTTCTATTATGATGTCATAAGGTGACAGTACGATGACATCATTGTGAACAGTGATGTCAACTTTTATGAAATTTGAATTTTGAATATCTGATTTAATCAGTTCTGTGGATATTTGAATTTTTAAATTCTGAATTTTGAAAAAAGTCCTGCTACGTCATCATCAGGTGACATGTACGATTTGACATGTACAATGACGTCACTTTGAACAGTGAAAGTCGACTGTCAGATGGAAGGTTGAATTTGAAATTTGAATTTTGAATATCTGATATGAAGGCTGTAACAGCATAAAGTTAATTTATTTCTGTATCTAGTTAGGTTAGGTTTAGTCCTTTTGTTTGCTAGACTAATATTACACCGCATATGGAATTTTTATTTGGTTTCTTTTTTCGGTGCTGCAGCTGATGGATCGAAGATGGTAACAGTGAAATTGCGGCATAGTGGTGGTTTCATTCTCCAGCGTGGTTACAAATATGTAGAGGGTGAGGTTGAGTATTTTGACGATGTGAATTACGAGTTGCTCACAGTTGAAGCTTTATATAAGCTAATTGACAATACTTGGTATTGTAGGCCACATAAATTGTTCTATCTTGTGCCAGATGATGTGGGCACTCCCAAGTTTACAAGGATTGAAGATGATGAAGATATCGATGGACTAATTGAGATGAAGACTCCCCACGGGTTGGTGGAAGTTTTCAGGATAGCTTCAATTGAGTTTGATCCATTCATGAAGAGTGTCTGGGTTGATAATGAGGTGGATAGTAATGAAGATGAGGATGAAGATGAAGACTATGTTGATAGTGAATTTGAGATGAGTGAAGATGATGAAGATTTTAGGAAATATGTCGATGAAAGGCTGGAATCGACTACATGGTACTCATATAGAAGTGAATCAAAGTTTGTACGGCATGAGGATGTTGGGGTGGGAACTGGTAGTGGGGAGAATGAAAGTGATGATGATTGTGGGTCTTGTGATGATCTGCACAGCATAGGTGGAAGTGATGAAGATGATGATAGTGAATGCCATGAACAGAAAGACCTAGTGTTTGACCCGGAGAAAGACATGGGGAACCCAAAATTTCAGCTGCATCAGCAATTTGCAACCAAGTGGATTTTATTGGCAGCTCTAAGACAACATGGAATAAAGGACAGGAGAAAGATCAATTTTCAGAAAAATGATATGAAGTTTGTCAGAGGATACTGTGAGAATTGCAATTGGGAGGTTTATGGAGTGAAAGTTGACGATGAAAAGGATCCTACATTTCAAATTAGGACAGTGAACACCAAGCACACCTGTGGAAGAGTCAACAGCAGTAGAAATGTGAACTCAGACATAGTTTCAGATTGGTATGTCGCTGATTTTGCAGATGACCCTAACATCAGTGTGAGTCACCTGCAGTTTAGGGTTTTGAATGAGCATAGGCTGACTATTTCTCGGACACAAGCATGGAATGCAAAGAGAAAAGCTCTTGAAAAGGTTAGGGGGAAGATCACAGAACAATATGCAGATTTAGAGTGCTACATGGAAGAAGTTACAAGGGCTAACCCAGGGACCTCAATTCAGGTGATATGTGAGGATGATGATCCCAATAAGTTTCTGCGGATGTATGTTTGTTTATGCAGCCAGCAAGGAAGGGTTCAAGGAAGGGTGTAGGAAAATCATCGGGGTTGATGGTACCTTTTTGAAGACTCAATGTAAGGGGCAACTGCTGATGGCAGTAGGTTTCGATGCAAACAACAACATATTTCCAATAGCATTTGCAGCAGTTGAGACTGAAAATGAATCTAGCTGGACATGGCTTCTATCTTGACTTGTTGAAGATTTGGGTATCCGAAACATCCCAGAATGGGTTTTCATTTCAGACCGTCAAAAGGTAATAGCTCATCTTGTTTAATTAAGTTGCACTTTTCTCTTATCTTTTGTAGAATATGCAGTCTTTAATTATATTGGTTTGTTTGTAAATGTGTGCGCTTACTCAGTTTGCTGTCTTTGCATGTTTTAGGGACTGACGAATGCCGTAAATCAAGTGCTGAATAAAGTATCACATCGACATTGTGTCCAGCACTTGTGAAACAATTTCAAGAAGAAGTTCCCTGGTTTGGAGATGAAGCGAAAGATGTTTGATATAGCCAAGGCCACAACAGAAAATGGAGTTTCATAGGTTGATGGATGAACTGAAGGATTACAATGAAGGTGCATGGCAGTGGTTGAAGGAATTAGAACCTAGTTCCTGGTCAAGAGCCCACTTTCAGACTAGCACTGAATGTGACATGCTGGTCAACAATATTTGTGAGGGTTTTAATAGAGCCATATTAAAAGCAAGAAGGCTGCCCATTATTGGTATGTTTGAATGGCTGCGACTATATCTGATGAAGAGGAATAAGAAGAAGAGGGACTGGATCAATAAAAACTTTGTTGTTATTGGTCCAAAGATTTTTAAAAAATTGGAGACCTACAAGGATAGAGCCACAGGATTTAGCTGCGAATATGCTGGAAATGGGAAGTATGAGGTGAGGAATCATTTAGAACAGGTGTGTGTAGATCTGGATAATCGGACATGTGCCTGCAAGAAATGGCAATTGACAGGTATTCTTTGTCCACATGCAATATGTGCAATCTGGGATAAGAATGATGTGGTAGAAAACTATGTGGGTGATTGGTATAAGAAGGACAAGTACCTGAAGGCATATGAACCCGTAATCTATCCAATCAATGGGCCTAAGTACTGGCCAAAGCGAATAGACCCTCCCATTTTGCCTCCACTTTTCAAAGTTCAACCTGGAAGGCCAAAGCATAGTAGAAACAAAGAAGCTGCTGTTACTCTTAAGACCAACAAAAAGGGTTCACAAAAAGCCAGCAGGAAGGTTGGTCCTGGCAAAAATAGATGTGGTTATTGTCGGGGTGAGCTTGTAAAAAAACATGTCCTGATTTAGAAGAAGCTAGAAAGGCTGAGATCCCGCTGTCAACAATCAAACCAAAGGTGCGTAGTTTGTTTTTCAGGTTTTGAAAAGTACTAGAGATTTGGTTTTAATTTCTTTAGTTTTCTTTTTAATTTGTTCGTTGGTGATGTGACAGCCACTAGTGGATCCACCTCAGCCAAAAAAGAAAGGCAAGCCTCCGAAGGCTAAAATAACCACCAACAATGCCGAACCACATGTTGGTCAAAAGAGGAGAATGGGTCCGAAACCAACGCCAAACTGCTTCTGTGTATATTGCAAAGTCACAGGACACTTTATATCAATCTGTCCAGCATTAGAGAAGAGAAGGGAGAAAAATCAGGCAGCGGAGGCAAGCGGGTAACAACTCTTTTCAATCCTTAGTGTTTTGAACGCTTTTTTTTATGTTAGGGTTTACACCTATGTTTGAGATCAGTGATGTTTTTCCAAGTTTGATTATGACAATGTTGTTGTTGCAGCTGCAGGAAATAAGAGATGCAGAAGCAAACATGGCTGCTGGAAGGCCACATGATGAAATACCGCCACTTTGCGAGTGTTGTGATCAATATGGCCACACAGCCGACACATGCGAAGTTATGGATTTTTGTAATTGGATGCAAGATAACAACATGGACACGGAGGGTGGTGGTGCTGGCCAAACTATTGGACCAGAAAACAGTGAACCAGTAAATGACACAACTACAGATGATGTCATTTTGCTTGACGAGGTGATGTGAACAATGTTTCACCCTTTGTGTTCTCTTACAACATCAATTTAATATTATACATATATATATATATATATAAATACGTTTCATTTGTTTGCCTTCCAGGTGATAAACACACCAAATGCTCCAGATGAAAGTCAATTTGAAGATGATTTCCTACAGTTTGATGCAAATACCCCGTACTGTAGTTGGCACGATGCATTTGGCCATCATACTGACCATTGTCCTCAGAACTTTGTCAAGTGTGATTACTGCCTGCAATATGGTCACACTTAAGTGGATTGCCCAGAATTTGAGGTAAATTCCTTAAATAGTCGGGGTTTATTCTTTTTTTAATATATATACATAAAAAAAAAATAAGGATTACAAATTAGAGTTTTGAATTTTTTTTCCCTTTTTATCAGTCTGATTGCCGAAAAATGTCCAAATCTGCTGATGTTGAGGGACTTGGTGGGTCAGTTTGCACCAACTTAAAAGGTGATTTCATGATGCTATTCATGATATTATCAACAAACTCAGGCGGCCACAGGTTTGTTTATAGTATTTTTTATACTTTCCTTTAATACTATTCTTCAAGAGTTAGATTTATTTTTGTTATTTTTTAACCTTAACTAACTTCCTATTTGCTGCAGAATGATCCATTTGTGGAGGACACTCCAAATGTTGACAACAACATACATTCAAATTTTCGCAGGTGCAATGTAGTGGAGTTTATATAGTGTTTTGCTGTTAATGTTGGTGCAACCATGAAAAAAAGCATTGACTAAACTTCACTTGTTGTAGGCTGTTAAAAGTTCTGAGCGATCTGCATCTGTTACGAAACTGTGGCGAATGGGACATGCAACTGGTGCGGGTGATTTGGGTCATCACCAAACGGGACAAACTGCAGCTGTTACTGCACAGGTACTGTAGTGCCATATTGGTTGTGCTGGTACTTTTTCCATTCAATTTATGTGCAATTGCTGAAGAACTCATGAATATGTTCTATCTACATGGTAGGTCATAGTCTCATCTGAGGAACCAGGTGTGTCTCACGCAATGAATAAGAAAAAAAAGGCAAACAAAAACGTTTGTGCTCCCATTGAGAGAAGGTGCAGTGCCAGGCTGAAAGCTGCCCATGCTTTCAAGAAAAAGAATGATGGACTTGGAGAGACTGCGGCTGAGCCCGTCGTGTTGGATGACGAGTGCCCAAAACAAACAAAGAAGCCAAAATCTACCAAAGCCTAAGCCATTTGGCATTTCACTTGTGTTTTTTCTTTTTAAGTGTTAGTACACTATCAAGTATGGTTGATCTTGGGACAATTAAGTATTTTGGTTAAGTATTCTATTTTGGATTTTGCACTTCCATTCTCCAAAACTGTCGCGTAGAGATGGTTGTTAAATATGGGTTGTATTTTGGACATGTTGGTTGCCATAATCAGGTTTTACCCTAATGAAATGTCAGATGCATTTGTAGATTTCGAAGCCCTTGGTATTGATAACCAAAAAAAAAAGAAAAATTTCTTCAAGTAATGTGGGAAGATGCACTTTTGTGTACATTTGTAAGTGGTTACATATACTCCAAACAGTTTGCCTTTTGATTCAGTGCAACACTTTTGGTAGATGATTGAGGCAATAAAAACAACACCAAAGTGTTGAACGATTAGTTAATGTAGTTGGATTACTCCAATTAGATGAAATACGAAACTTTAAAAATTTCATAAACCGATTTACTCCAATTCATCAAAATTCAAGAACATATAGTCGATGATTTGAAGTACCAAATGCGAATTTCATTATCCAAATTTCAATAACAAACATAGTCGACAATTTTAACAAACAAAAGTCAACGATTTTCATTATAGTAAGAACTAAACTTGACGACAACAACACATAACTGGCTAAAGACTAAACTCGACAATAACAACACACAACTGGTTAAGAACTAAACTCGACGATAAAAACACACATCCCAACCAACCGATTTCACTGTACTAACAGAAACCTAACAAGTATATTCTAAACACAAATAATTCTGATTATAGTTACAACAATAACACCATCCACAAATAGATTTTCCTTCAAATATCTAAAACATTAAACACTAGTTTACCTTCTAAATACAATAACCAACACCATTAGGAGAACCATCAAATTGATAATTGACCCTGCAACAACAATTAAAAAAATGGCCTCCAATGTATTCTTGCATTTGCTGCATTCTGTCGAACCCTTCTTCAGTCTTGTGCCAGCCTTTTCCCCAGAATCGTCTACCCCTTCACCATTCAACACAGCTCCATGTAAATCACCTCCATTCACGAACCTTCTTCTTGCATAACGGGACACCGAACTCGATTCAATAAGGGTGTGATCCACCCACTTCAGGAACCCATGGTTGTGGCATCTATAATATAACCGCCCAGGATTGTCGTTGGACTTCGACGGGACCACATAAGCCTCCCCCTTACACTTGCTGCAAACAACATTCTCCAAAATCAAATTTCATGACGATATGCTACTGGACGACATGACCGGAATCTATGGAGGGAGGGGATTCGGATTGCAGCTCCGTGTCAGATCCACCCCAATTCCACCAAAGCGCAACAATTACAATGGTGGTGGCTTGATTTTCTAATAGGATAAGAACAAAATTAGGATTTTGTTTGTTTTCGATTCGACCTATGTTTACCGGAATCAAAAGATCGATCCGGTGCTTTCAAGAAAATTTTTTTTTCTTCACTTGCGGGATTTCTGAGTTTCAAAGAAAGGTTGGGGATCTGGTGGCTAGGTTTGGATCAGGTGTTGGGTTGCTTTTAAAAAGACGGCCAACATGGTTGGGAAGCACGGGCGGGGCACGTGACCACAGGGCTGGGTGGGTTAAGATGTTAAAAGGCAAAACTGCCCCTTCGTTAATCTAATATAATAGTCACGTGACTTGCACGCTTTCGTCTTCTTTTTAAACGTTTCATGGACGGAAAAGAGACAATTCAACTTATGGTATTAAATAAAGATAATTTGAACTTAGGGTATATAGTAAGGACGGAGCCCCAACTTATGGTATTTTATTGATAATTAAGTGTATTAAATTAGAAATGTTGAATTCATTAAGCAGTATGAAATAAGTAATAAATTAACTTTTATTACTTATATTTTGTACAGTAGTTTCAACTGATCTTAATTCATTTAGAGTCTCATTTTTTGTTATCAAATGTGTTTAAATGAATAAGTGCTTAATGAAAGGCCCTAAGGCAAACTCCAGAGAGAGTTTTTTTATAAATGATCCAAATATAATTATTTCTCCATGCCACATAAGATTTGATCCTAGGTGACTTTTTTAGACATATTTTGCTTTAAAAAAATATTGGCACATTATATCTTAATCAAAAGTCTTTACAAATCTTTAAAGGTGATGATGGAAATCAGATCTTAACTAAAAGTAGGTTTGTATCTTGAAAGCTAACTTCAGATTCTTAGAGTTTGAAATCTTGAGAAAATATTGCACGCGCAGAAAACCAATCCTGTGATGCCGTGTGTACTAATTTATTAAAAACAAAAAACTTTTAATTCTAATTTTCCCTTAACCTCGCCCCCAGATCGGAAAATCCACAAAAAAAAACCTCCGCCCCAGAATTGGGAAAGCCATAATTACCGATCCTACGTTTCTGGGTTGAGGTCGTATCGCCAAGCCTCCAACCATTGAGGCCGACGAATCTCCTTCCATTATGAACCAAGTTAATGGAAGGCTAATGGCATCTTCATATACGAACAAAAATTCTAATATGAACCAAGATCATAAAGACTTTATTATCAAATTAATAATTTTTTCCTCTTAAGATGTAAATAATGATTCCTTTAAAAGTCATTAGGGGGATTTTTCGTGTGTTATTGTTAAGAGGGCGTGAGGCCATTTTGGAATTTAAAACAAAAGAAGAAGCATATCAAGATGATGATTGGCTGAGTGAAATGACAGGAAATTCACAGAACACTTATTTTTTAAGTGTGTTTATGCTAAAGAGATGATGTATGAGTTGCTGCACTGGCTGGAATACAGGGGCAGAAGCTTGGTGCTGAATCAGATGCTGAGCAGAATCAAAATTGGGTGTCGACTTCAGAAGCTGAAAAGGAAACTTGTTAGTGGTGCAATAGTTGCTTGTATCTACGATGTTTGGTCTGAGCGAAATGACAGGAAATTCACGCAGAAACAAAGCCAAGTAGCAGACAGGGTGGAGAATATAAAGCAAGAGCTGAAATGGAGTTTGAAGCTGGATGGAAGAAAACTGAAACAGAGTGAAATTCAATATTTACATAGATTGTGTATATATCATGTATAGTGACAGGCTGAAAACACAGAAGAATAGGGCAGTGGTGTAAAAGTGGCAGTTTTTTTTTATCAATATAATTTACTTTTAGCAAAAAAAAAAAAGATGATGATTGGGGGTTGAAAGATGAAGGAGATGAGCGAATTGGAAATAAAATTGGAATTTGTTATCACATCTTGGATTGATTGCCATAGCAAATTGATGGAGACCATTAAGCTAACACTAATGAAGAGGGATATGTTGCTGCCAATAATGGAGAGGACGAGTAAGTTGAGGTGGTGAAATCTAATGGAGGATCTAAAGATGATGCCTTAAAGAATAATCTTTACATTCGTGATCCACTTTCAAACATTATTGGACCTATGACTCGTGCTAGATATAAGAGGATGACTGAATCACTTAATAGTCTCATTACTACTACATGGACTAAGGAAGAAATTAAGCTTGAAGATTACAAGCCCAAGACTATTAATTTGTTGCAAGTGTCACCAAATGGACTTGGCTAATTTGGGAGGAAGGAATTTCGGCCCTCTACTCAAGGAGAGACTGCCAGCCACACCCCTCATGAATAGAAGTCGAATGGATCCCCAAAGTTTATGGATGAGATCATTCAAAATTTATCTCTTTGAAAGATAAGACTTTATCTCTTTAAAGGATAATATTTGGGATCATTCGTTTTTACCCATTGTTTTTGGAGTTTGTCTACAATAAGGAGCCAACTCATTGATGTCTACTCAACCGTTGGATGAAGACTATAGCAAGATGGATGGCTAAGATCACTCTACAAAGAAGATGATGATAGAGTTCTTACTCAAGGGAGATTCTATCCATTTGAGAGATAGGAATCTTTTTTTGAGATTATCTATTCGTATTTTGAGTTTTAATTAATTCTTACATATACTTAAGAGAAGTGTCTAGGTTCGTTATCTTATCACATAAAATAACTAGGAGCCTTTAGAGTTTTATTTGATTTCAAATTCATAGAGATAGTAATAGAGTTGAAGAGTTGTGTGCTTCCTCTACTTCTTAGGAGAAAATTTGACCACCTACCTCTATAAATAGGGACCGAATTTCTATTGTCCAACATCACATTGACATTGATATTTTCTGAGTGAAATCAAATTGGTTAGCATTTTGTTCCTTTCGTAGAGTTCTTGTGAGGACTTCTTTGTTTAGTTGTTGCATATGTGTTGTGACAATTATTAGACTTATCTAACTTGTGTAGTTCGCTTGATAGCGTCTTTAGCATTGGATCTTTTGAATTTTGGTTCTTAAGCTGATAGCTCTCATATCTATTGGGTTTTCTTATAGAATTTTCTAAAGGGGTCTTTGCTTGGTTAGAAATAGCTCTCTTCGTTCTTAATTTGGGTTGTTCTACCGTTGAACTCGTGAATTGGTCTACGTTAGATCAAATATCTTTTCTTTTGCTTGTTTTTGTGTGTTTTTGTGTCTTTCTATATCCGAATTCTCCAAATTCCGCTGCTTATAATCTCTGTCTTTCCGAATTATTAAAATTGATATTTTATTAAGATTGGTTTTGTCACGGATTGCTATCAGTTTTGGTTACCAGAGTTATCTTTTGGTTTTCCTCTCTCAAAAGAGGATATTCGTAATATTTTATTTTTCAGTTGTTCACCACTTGGACAATTCCTTTAAGTTTTGTACCTTTCGTGTTGTTTATCATCCAATAGCAAACTTTGGTGATTGTGGTTGATATATATTTATATATATATATATATATATATCGATCCAAGATCTTTATATCTTGGGGGTGGTTGATATTTATCCATTCATTGTTGAAGGAGATTTTGTGTTGAAGGTGTTGTTTAATTTGGCCGTATAAAAAAGAGTTGTTTCAAGTCTAGGGTTCTTCTCGGCCGTGCCCTATATTACAATAAAAAGAGAAAAAGAAAATAGACATGCAAAAAG